CCCCGCGCTCGAGCAGCTGCCGGAGACGATCAGCACCTGCCGCTTCGCCCAGCGCGTCGCGATGATCCGGCAGGAGGCGCGCGTCAACGAGGAGGTCGACCCACACCTGCTGGTGCGCAAGCTCAAGGCGGAGGTGCAGCAGCTGCGGGACCAGCTCGCGTTCTACGCGAAGGACGGCGGCGGCGGCGCCCCCGACCGTGTGCTCTCAGACGATGAGAAGCAGCGCTGCGCCGAGATGGTGCGCCGCTTCGTGGCGGCGACGAACGGCGACGCGCGCATTGAGGGCTTCGACGGCGACTTGGCCCGCATCTACTACTGCTTCGAGGTGCTGAAGGGCATGCTGTCCGACAGCGGGGCAGCCATAAATGGCGCAGCCAACGGCCAAAAACAGCAACTCCAACAACAACAACAGCAGCAGCAGGAAGAGGTGGATGTGTACCGGGCCCGTGTAGATGCACTAGAGATGAGTCTGCGGCAGAAGGAGAATGAGATGAATACGCTCTTTGACATGCTGCAGAAGACGCAGAGGGCACGGTACAATGCTGAGACGCAGACGGGAATGGCGGCGGACGCATCGTGCAGCCGCACCATTGCTGCCGCTGCTGCTGCTGCTTCTCCCACTGGCGTTTTTGCACCGCAGATGTCGTCGCCGTCGCAGCGAGGCTCTGCGTCCTTCACCTCATCTCCATTAGTAGCCGGGTTGCCCACCGCAAACACGGCCTATGCGGCAGCGGGGGATGCGCCGCAACACCACCACTCGCTGATGACCCGACGCGTTTTGGACGAGCGACTGGGGCCCGCGGAGGCGACCGCCGTCGGTGAGTTCTTCCGCAAGCAGGAGCAGCTCAATGAGGTGTACGACCTCTCCGCCCTCACCGACGCAGAGCTGCTGCAAGACCGCGCCACCGCCTTCGAGGCGTTCAGTCGCTCCTACCGCCAGTGTGCACAGGTGGAGGAGAACAAGCGGGAGCTGAAGGGCCGCTACGAGGCGTGCAAGGCCACAGCGCGGCAACTCAACGGCGCGGTGGACAGCATCAAGCACATCAAGGCACACATCCAGCGTCTGCGCGCGGAGCGGGCGCTGCAGGGCGTTGAGGAGGTCGACGAGGCGGAGCGCGCCGCTCTGGAGGAGTTGACGTCGCAGAAGGCGTCGTACAACGAGCTGGCGGAGTCACTGCGGCGGCAGAAGGAGGAGATTGACGCCATGCATCTCTTCATGAAGCGCGCGCAGGAGCAGCTAACGAAGGACTTCGAGGATTGGCTGCAGATACGCCAGAAGCAGCTCGCCCGGGCAATAGGTGGTGGCGGCAGCAACGCGACCACCACAAACACTGCCGCCAAAAACAACAATAGTAACGGCATTGCCCTCAATGGTGGTGGGGTTGAAAGCAGCAGACAGGCCACAGCGGCCACCGCGCCGAGTTCCGCGCTGCTACCACCGCGATCGAGTCACCTCTTCGAGCAGCAGCAACGGCTAAACATGACGACGCCAGGGGCAATGGCGGAGCTGCCGCCCCTGCGGGAGGAGAGCGGCATCTCCGCACGCACGTGGGGCGGCAGCAGCAGCAGCAGCACCGCAAATGGTCGGATACTTGGAAGCAATGGGCTTAGTAGTAGTGTCGGTGGCGGGGGCAACAATGTGAGCAGCAGCAACCGCAGCGTGCTGGTGAATACCGTGGAGCGCGTGCCGCCGCACCCGTCGACCGCGCCGCCGACAACGCTGGCAATGAC